AAACTAGCTCATATTAAAAATTATTTACTACATATAACACAGAAAGCATCATTAAAAACCATTCACCTGTCATGAGCAGAAAAATCAGATGCTCCTTTTTCTGCCCTCTCTGATGCAACCAGCACAGCACCCTGAGTCTTTGCAATCCCCTAGTCAAATTCCAGTAAATTTTAAAGCACCTATTTTTTTACAAGACAAGAAACTGATATAGGCTTCAGGAATTTCTTTGCTAAATCATCTTTGTTTTTAAAATGTACTAACTCAAGTCTCGCTTGCCTTGATCAGAGATGGCCACAGCAACCATGCTATATGTAACATTTCCACCTAAATCTCTGCTAAGACATATAATTGGAGGCTCAGTCGCAATAAAACTTACTGTCCTTGCCCCGGTTTAAAAATACCATCTAACTCCTTCCCATCTAGGTTGGGTTGACCCTGGCTGGATGTCAGCTGCTTAAAAAAGCCGTTCTGTCACTCCCCTCCTCTGCTGGCCTGGGGAGAAAAAATGTAATGAAGGCTTCTGGGTTGAGATAAGGACAAGCAGAGATTGTTCACCTATTAATTACTGTCATGGACAAAACAGACTCAGCTTGGGGCAAATAAATGTCTTACCAGTCAGGACTAGGGAAATGAGAAATTAAAAACAAATCTTTAAAAACCCCACCTTCCCTCACCCCTTCCTCACGGTGTTACCTTCCTCAGGGAGCAATCCTTCAAGCACAGCCTGCTCTAGTGTGGTACCCTCACGGGGTCACAGATCCTGCCAGGAAACCTGCTCTAGTGTGAGCTCCTCTCTCCATGGGGCCAGAGGTCCTCCCAGGACCCTACTCCAGTGCGGACTTCCCATGGGGTTGCAGCCACCTTCGGGCACCCACTTGTTCCACTGTGGGCTCCTCAACGGGCTGCAGGTGGATCTCTGCTCCACCATGGATCCCCATGGGCTGCAGGGGCGCAGCTGCTTCACCACGGCCTGCAGAGGAATCTCGGCCCCAGCATCTGCAGCACCTCCTGCCCTCCTTCTCCACTGGTGTGGAAGAGGTACCTTTGTACTGAGGTGTGTCTCACAGTCTCAATCCTCTCTTCTCTGGCTGTAGCTGCTGTGGCTCAGTATAGCTTTTTTCCTTTATTAAATACGGTATCCCAGAGGTGCTATCATCATCAGCCTTGTCCAGCAGGAAGTCCATCTTGGAGCTGGCTGGCACAGGCTCTGTCAGATATGTTGGGAAGTTCCTGGTGCCTTCTCACAGAATCTACCCCCACCCTCCTCCTGCTACCAAAAAATTGCCATAGACCTTCCTACTTGAGAAAATGCCTCATCCAAAAGTTTGTGGTTTTTGCTTTCTCTGTCTTCTAAAAAAGACTGGTATTATAAAGAGGAGTATCCCTTAGCCATAGAAAATGAAAGAGTTATGTAGCTGTGAAGAAACAGAACTGGGATAGAGTGTTTAACTGTCAGCTTGAAATACTAAACAGCACTGGGGTACTTTCAGTACAGATTTACTGCATCTCAGTAACAGATCACATTGTTCTGAAGTATCACTTCTGTGAGCAGAAATTATCATCACCAAGAACAACCCAGGTTCTGTAAAAACATCGAGCTAAAACAGATATTATACGTGAAATAAAACTCAAGGTCACACTGTAAACACACATTAGTGCGCCACATATACTCCACATTTGCTGCCCACCTACTGGTTTTCTTAGGTTTATACATTCTGATTTAAATGCCACACTAATGACACTGTAGTCATAGAAATACTCAACAGGCCAAGTCCATTTTAATTACAGTTACAGATTAGAGTCTAATTCCTAGTCTTTCCTTTCACATCCTTTTATTCCCATGCCAAAGAAAATACGTAGTGAGGCATTTATGTTGGTATATACTATCCTCCGGATTACATGTCTAGCCTAATAAATTCATTAACAAGACAAGTAGTACAAATGTTGGCTCTGCATCTCTTCCACTAAAGCTCATTATTTCCTTTTCTTCCTTACTTAATTTGTCTGTGTTGGAATGCATTCAGCATTTTTGCTGTTTTCAGACACTAATAAAATGGTGGGCTGGACATGTACACCAGTGCTGACAGCCAGGAGCAGTACTATTGTCCTGCTTATGCATCCTTCCTGAATGGGAAAACTAGGTCAGCTGATAGTCCAGATTCTCCATGTGACCAGCACAGGGCAGGGTGGGTGGAAGAAGGCCAGCATAGTGCTTCTTCAGCAGAACAAATACTGAAGAAACCAATATGTGCAAATGTATGTGTACTTCAAATTCGTGAAATAACTTACAAGGGGACTCTCTCAGAAGTGAGGAAAAGAATGCAGAGGGAAAAAGAAAAAGGAAATCTAAGCTTTACTAAGGAAAATAAAACCAAACCAACAAACAAAGAAAACCACCAAAAAAAACCAAAAAAAACCAAAAAAAAAACAAAAAAAAAACCAAAAAAAAAAAAAAAAAAAAAAAACATGTGAGAGCAGGTAAGTGCCTATAATCTAAGTTTCAGCCAAAATAAAACTTTTTGTTTTGCCATAAACTAGGTTCAGCCACCTTCCTCACAGAAAGTTTGTGTATCACGCCTTGGGTCCAGCAATAGCAGACCCACCCATGTAAAGAGCAGTGATGCTGAGGATGTTACATACCCCTGTAGTCTAATCACTTAACTGTGATCCAGGAATCAGTATGGCAACACTGCTGAATGCAAAGCCAAAAAACCGAGAGAAAACTATTCAAAAGTTAAGACACTTACTTATATTTTGACTGCTCTTTTCTTTGGAAACAATGGAAAATATTCCTCCTTCCATAGAGATCTGCAAGAGTCTCGGGAAACCCAGCTCAAATTCACTGTTGATCCTGCTGTGAGCAAGAAGCTGGACTAGAGGATCTTCCAGCCTCACTAATCCAATGACTGATTTTTGTGAACTGCCTTTTTACAACCTTGAATAGCCTTTAAAGCTGCTTTCAGAACAGCAGAAACATCTCGAATTCATTGGAAAATCAGCATTTCATAAAGCTGCAGCTATGCCTGTACACCGCCCACTTCCTCATCCAGCAAACACGGTGGTAGTGGCTGATGCTGCCTCACGCCGCGCCACATCCGCCTCCGCTTCTCCACCACCTTGGAACGATGAGGTGCCTTCTTCCAAACCAGTTAAATGACAGGCATCATTCAACCCAATTCAATTAAAATAGCACAAAGCTGCATGTTGATTAAAATTACACATTTCAATGAAGTTTAATGTGCTGGTGGATTATTTTTATAAATCTATGGCAGATCAAAAAACTACAATTAAACCCAAATGGGTATATGTGTACATACATACATAAGCCAGTTTAAATAAATACAAAATTTCAAATATATCATTAAGCATTAAGCATTAATTTATATTTATAGAAGGATGTAGCTTGGCCCTCTTGGATCCTAACATTCTCTTTTATTAACTTTTTTACCACATGAGGACTCTATTTTATATGCAAGCACTAATACATGAATCTGTAAATACTATCAATATTTAATTTTCTACAAAGTATTTATAAATTACATCAAGTCAGGACAGTCTTGAGTAGACAGGGCATGTCACTGAAGTATGCAGTTTTAACACAGATGTTAAAAATAATCCCCATTTATTTCAGAAACAGTACATTTAAGAAATACTTGACCTGTGCAGCCACAGACTCCATAAATAGTTTTGTGGATAATAAATTATCCACAAAATAAGTGAATACTAAATAATTAGTATTGTGCAACCAAACCCACAACACCCACAGGTTTCAAAGTGCTTAGCAAGACAATAGAAGATTATGGTTCCCAATCTACAATGGGAACAGCTGAAACAGAAAACTCAGGTGGCTTGTCTGAGATCTTACTGAAAATCAGTGTCACAAATGTGGAAAAATGCCTGAGAATCCTGACTCTCAAGCCAGTCTTGAGCCATGAATGACTTCACTGTGACTAAATTTATAAACAAAATCTGAGACCAAAAAGCAGCTTGGTTCTTTCAGCTCAAATAAGGAACAAAGATTTCTCATTGATATGAGATATGGTCATTACTACAGCAATCTGTAGATTAGTAAGACCAGATACAGATATCCCAAAGACACTCATGGGGAAAGATCCCTTAATAAAGGACAGATGGCTACAAAGACAGTGGCATGGAGAAAGCTAAACCGCTGGATCCACTGGAACCACCAAAACTGAACTTGTGGCAGGGCAGCACTCCAGAAAAACCCCCAAAATGCCAGTGGCATTTCTGAGTTGCAGGAGTTTCTGCAGAGACCCCTGCACTTGCAAACACTTCCCTCATGCTGGAGTGTGGGAAGCCCAGCTGCGAGAAGGCTCCTGAGCCACTTCACTCCTAGGACGCCTGGCAGGGCCATGGCAGGCAGGGACTGGAGAACTCTTGCTCCACAGCTGAACCAGGGCCCATTAAGGCACCTGTCGGCCTGGGACCATGATAGTGCACACCCACGGGACTTGCACAGAAACACACTTCATTTCTGTAATATGGCTATTCTTATGATTACTGCTCAACTTTGTGTGTTCAACACTTCAACAAAGCACCACACTGCTGAACACCAACTGAAAATAGCTCTGTGTGTAGGGATACTGTCTCAAGAGCACTGGAATTTCACATAAAGATATTCCTACAGGCAGAGTAGAAATGAAGGTTGACCTCTTTTGGCACGAACACCTTCCCCAAGTGGCTGCAGAGACTGCCCTTAGGGCATGCATTTATTCTGCCTTTGGAGGGCACACAACTGTATGCACTCAACAGTGCACAACTGTTCCAACCAACTTTCACTGTCTGTGAAACCAACAGTGTTGGCACAGCTTCTGATCACACGCTTTTTAGAAGGAAAAGCAACACCCAGGTTAGCTGGGAGAAGAGAACAATGGTACACACACAATGCAGTATATAGGGATCTTCTTTCCCTTATATCATCCAGTCATATTCACATTGCAAAGATCTATGCAGCTCCCACAGATGAGAAGTGTGGAACTTCAGGTGAGGTCACATGGCTCATTTGGTGTTCAGGCTGATCTCATGGTTTTTTTCTGTGAGATGGGCACTTGCAGTTTTCCTGAGGTAGCAGATACAGAGGTCTTCCCTTTATTCCTTTAATAAAAGCAAAAGTGAAGGAAAACAGGACAGGCAGACAGAAGTGCTGAAGTTTCTTATGAAAGATACAAACACACTTGAAGTAAAATACATTTCTAAAATACTCCACTGGGACAGAGAGCACAAGAGCTTCCAAAAGCAAACTTCACCATCTCAGAATCACCTGAAGACAATTACAGGTTTAATGTGGCAAAACAGTTAATCAGTGAGAAATTACATAAATAAATAGCCAGCCACTGGCTCTGCAGGGCCCTGGACGTTACATAGAATGGACATTTTCCTCACTGCCATCCTGCAGCAGGTCAAGGCAGCAGAACTGCAGGTGCTGTGCACACAGCAGGGACAGCAGAGAACACAGCGCTGCTATGTCAAGGCATTTGTAGAACTTAAGTGCAGAAAGTGCTCATCAGAGGACAAATGTACCCACTCCTTCTGTTGTTCTGCAACCTTTTCTGCCAAGCATTTTACCAAGACAGGATCTACTTTGGAGTCAATCTTGTTGGCGAACCAGTGTCCATAATTCAGAAGCCATCTTAATTCTCCAGCCCCATAGATGCAGACACTGCGAAGGTGGGTACCAGTGCATGGAGGATACAAATAGTCTTCAAGATAATTCCATTTCACCAGACGAGTTTTGCTTTGTAAGTCTGTTACATCTTGGGATGACCTTGGAACTTCCCCAGGGACCCCGGGGACACGAACAAGAGTGGCCCAGAAATGTTCATCTGGAGAGTATGTGTCCCTTGACCACTCAAAAAAATCTTTTGCAAGTGAGCTTTCAAGGGTATATTGAATAAATTCTCGGCTTAAAACAAAATAGGCACTGCCTACAAATATCTCAATATCATGAGGTGGCGGATTCTTGGAAATGTTGGTTTTTACAGGCATCTGCACGTATTCATAAGGCACTTTCATAAGCTCATAGTGATAAGTAAATCGTTCTCTTTTGCTACTGCTTGGCTTTGAAGTTTCCAGCATGTTTCCTCCACCAAGTTTCTTCAGTTCAGCAACCAACTCAAAATTTGATCTCAAAGGGAAATCTTGGCCACACAAATTAATAGCATACTTCCAAGGAACTGGAGAGTCCATCAAATCAGACAAACAATTGAAATCTGCTTGCAGACGTGAAATATGTGCGTAGTCCACTGTCTCCAATTTTGATGCAATGAAAATATTTGGAAAACATTTAGCTAGATTGTTCAAAGCAGATTTGAAACTTTTTGCTGCTTTTTGATCATAATGGATGCAGTAAATATTCTGACGACTGTACAATGAATGTATGAGCCTTTCTACCATTGCTGCATCTTTGTGAACAACCAAAGAATAGGCAATTGGAAAACTCTCCTCCTCTGCAGAAACAGGTTTTAACTGGTATTTCCTAAGTGAACGATATACATGACAGTCACTTGTCATTGCTACAATATCTTCATCAGCTAAATCAACTATTTCTTTTCTTCTTATCTCTAAACTCTTCCCAATTTCATGAGGATCTTGCTCATATATAGATGAACAATTAATTTCATACTGGAACTCATTTCTAGGGTATGAATATCTGTTTCTAACATAAGAAGAAGTGCTTAAGAAGTGCTCAACTAAGTAAATGCCTTTAGAGGGAAAAAAGTGTCTTTCGACATGGAGGAGCTTCAGCAGTGCAATCAGCCACCCAGTAACACACAGAATCAAGATCTTCCTTCGTGAGGGACATTTGTAGGACCACTTGTGTCTCTTCATTCTGCAAGAAAGAAAAGACATAGTGTTACTTTAAATCTGAAATCACCTCTGAAATCATCAGAGATCATTCCAACCTCAAAGAAAGATATGTGCACACCAGTCTGCCTACAGCATAAATACCACCTTATTAGGAAGGTCACTGGTAATCTCTAGTTTCTTCTTAACCATAACTTTAAAATTTCATTTCCCCAAATTAGCTAAGTGACAGCAATAAACCAGATGATTTCCAGTCAAATAAGAGTATCAGAACAGGACTCCCACAGTTTTTTTTCCAGACATTTTTAAGACCTCTAATGAGCCACAAACTGAAGTACAGCAAACCCTGGATTGGCAAAGACATTACTGTCATTCATGTGAGTAGAAAGGATTGTTTATTTTCCTGAGTAACTACAAGACATTCAACAGGAGCAGCACAGGGATGTCTAGGAAGTCTGCAAAGAATGTGTGCCTAACAGTAGATATTAGTATTGTTTTTTAAAAAGCATGAAACTGAAAGCTTTAGAATTCAAACACCGCATTCTCATTATCACAAACACTGGAGCTGACTCATGAAGATGTTCAAGGGAAAATTAATTTCCTTCCTGTCCTGACAAGATCTTATAAGCCCAAAGTCTCCTTTCTCTCTTCAGATTCCTTCTGGAAAATACTTGTAACTTGCCCTGAAGACAGAGGTGGATAAAGACATAGAACTTTCATCCACTGGTATGAATGTATAAAGAAGGTACCCTTCTGAAGGCAAAAGGGGTGGCAGTAGTAAGCAATAGCGCATCCGTCCTGTTCTCTGCCATGTGACGCAACCTTGGATGTGACCACAAAAACACGTGGCCCCTTTTTATACCGCATGTTATTTAATAAAATTCATGTGTAGCACATTAACAACTGAGGTATTACCACAATAAAAGCTAAATACAGAGATCCTCTTCCACATAGCTTTGCTTTACTGGCTGAGTGTAATCAGCATTGTTACTATCCCCAAATTAAAATTAGACCAGAACCACATAACAACTGCAGCAGTAAACTTAGCTCTACTTAGCTTAAAATAAACTCTACTTTGTTTTTAAATTGAACAGCTCCCAGTATTTTCTTTTGAATATAAGTTATTTCAGGGTGCTTCCAGAGCCAATAAAATGGTGGGGCCAGCAGATGTGGCTCAGATGCCTGGACATCTCACATATGTATGAGAATGAAGTACTGAGATGTGCATTCAAATATACTGCAAGACTAACTTGGGCATCTTTAGCATTCCCTTTGATGTCAGGTCTTGCAAGCTGTAGCTACATTCAAATTGCAGCTTGTCAAAGCAGAGCTTTTTCATTTGTCTGTTCTCCCTTGACTTTGCCTTTCCCTGTGCATCTTTGTCCCAAGTATTTTTATCCTAGGGCAACAGAAAGAAGGAAATGTTATCTCCTGGGCGCTGCCAGATACAGACCAGGGTCAGCCAACACATACCTATTTCGTAGAAAGCTCAGCAACTCTCTGCAGGTTTTAGAAACAGTCTCCAGGTATGCTAACAAAGAAAGAAAAAAAACAGATCTCATAGAATCATTGAATAGTTTGAGTTGGAAGGGACCTTAAAGATAATCTCTTTCCAAAATCCCTGCCATGAGCAGGGAACCTTCCCCTAGGCCTTGAATAATTCCAGGGATGGGGAATCCACAACTTCTCTGGGCAACCTGTTGCAGTGCCTTATCATCCTCAAAATGAAGTGAGACATTCATATCCCTATGAAGACAAAAAATCCCACGTTCCCCCACAGCAAGCAGGTGCTTTCCTTCATGTCTTCTTCAAATTAATCCCAGCCCAATGTCGAATCTAGGTTTCCCCTTTACCTATTTCCTTTATGTATCTGTGTTCCTGGAAAAAAAATCACTTTTAAAAACTGCTCGTAACCAAAGGCAGGTTTTCAGTCATATGAAAAAAAGCCTTCTAGAGGGGAAAACAGGTAACCTGCCCTGGCTTTTTATTTTGGAGGGAGAAGACCTATGTGGTGTTGCCTTTCTGTGAAGCCCACCCCACGCCTCTGCCCAGTGTCTCCCTGGCTACCAAGGACAACACCTACCACCCCTGCCTGAACAGGGATTGCCTAAATCAAGGAGTGAATCATCTCTTACTCTCTCCTTCAAAAAGGCGAATCTGGACAAACAAAAAGAAGGGGGAAAATCCAACACATTCCAAACTTCTCCCTAACCTCTCTATCTGTGTCAGCCCTGGCCAGCTTCTGCCCAGTGCCAAACATTCTGTTGCTATGAAACCAAACAAAGCCATAGAATCTTAGAATGTCCTGAGTTGGAAGGGGCCCACAAGAATCAGTGAACTACAACTCCTAGCTCAGCACAGGATACCCCAAGAGTCACATCATGTGCCTGAGAGCATTGTCCATCTCTGGACTACGACAATACTCAACTGTGTCAGGCTGGTGCTCTGTGACCCCTTCCCTGGGGGGCTTCAGCCACACTCTGGGTGAAGACCCTTTTCCTTATACTTAACTTAAACCTCCCCCAACAAAACTTTAGACTGCTTCCTCGGGTCCTGCCACTGTTCACCACAGAGAAGAAATCAGTGCCTGTCCATCTGCTTTCCCTCACAAGGAAGCTGTAGGTCACTGGGAGACCTCCCCTCAGTCTCCTCTGGGCTGAACACACCAGGTGACCTCAGCTGCCCCTCATACGGCTTCCTCTCCATATCCTTCATCATCCTTCTGACCCTCCTCTTCTCCAATAGTTTTGTATCTCACTTACACTGTGGCACCGAGAACTGCCCCCAGCACTCGAGGTGAGGCAGCCCCAGTGCAGAGCAGAGCAGGACAATCCCTCCCTTGCCTGGCTGGTGATGCTGTGCCTGGTGCCCCAGGACACGGCTGGCTCTCCTGGCTGCTGACCATGTTCAACTTGCCATCAACCAGGACCCACTGGTCTACTTCCACAGGGCTGGTCTCCCAACCTTGCGCATCCTGGTCTGTCCATACCTCCAGGCTTGCCCTGTCCCAGTGCAGAATCCAGCACCCGTTTTTGTTAAACTTCATATGATTGGTGATTGCCCAGCTTTCTAATTAGCTGAGATCTCTCTGCAGGGCCTGTCTGCCTTCAACTGCTCCTCCCACTTTAGTGTCCCAGTTTGTACCTTTGAATTTATCTTGAGTTCTGTATCCAAGTCATTAGTGAAGATGTTGAGGAGCGCTGGCCCTAAGATGGAGCCCTGTGGAACTGCACTGGTGACAGGTCACCAGCCTGATGTCACCCCATCCACCGTAACCCTTTGTGTCTGACCTGTCAGCCAGCTGTTCACGTACTGCATGACATACCCAGAAGGATCCTGCGAGAGACAGTGTCAGAAGCTTTACTGAAATCAAAAAAGATCACATCATCATCATCAAGGTGAACTACCTTGTCATAAAAGTCAAGCAGGACCCTCCCCTCGTGAAGCCATGCTGGCTATGACCAATGACTGCATTTTCTTTCAGGTGTTTTTCAATAACTCCCAGAATAATCTTCTCCATAATTTAACCAGGCACTGGAGTGAGACTGACAATACTGTAGTTATCAGGGTCATCCGTCTTGCCATGAAGGAATTCTTCCTCATATCCAACCTGAACCTTCCCTGGTGCATCTTAAGGCCATTTCTTATCCTGTTGCTCATTGCCTGGGAGAAGAGGCTGACCCCCACCTTGCTAAAACCTTCTTTCAGGTAGTTGTAGACAGCAGTAAGGCCTCCCCTGAGCCTCCTCTTCTCCAGGTTAAAAAACTCCAGCTCCCTCAGTCACTCCTCATATGACTAACTTTCTAGACCCTTCATCACCTTTGCTTCCCTTCTAAATAATTTATGAGTATAAAGTTAATTTCAGCAAAAACTAGGATTTCTTGATGAACAGTGGGAGACTGGGGGACTAAATCTCTTGGGATAGAAGGGCCATCACAACCTCATCAGGTTTTGACTCATCTGAAAAACCTTATATTTTACCACATGCAGACTCAAAGCCCTACTCAGACATAGAGCTGTCCTGTACACACCATCCTCTCCAGAGGAGCACAGAATGAATGAACATGGCAGATGAGAACAGCAACTATTGTTGTCCAAAGCACATATCTTGGGTAGCACTGACCAGATGCTAACGCTGGTTATCCTGACCACAAAACTTTTTCCTTAGGTGATGCCACACAATACACATGCAAGGTTCCATCTTTTGTATCAAGATTTTATATTATGAGCTTGGCATTGACATCTTGCTTTGTTCTGTAAAATGTGTTACTTGTCTTTTCTACATGTGAGAAGATTCATGAGGTACATTTGCTTGTTCCAGGACTTGAGGAGGGCAGGAACCCCAGGTCTTCACCCAGTATAAGACTTCTATCGAGAGCCTCCCCAGCTTACACAGCCCTTTCATGAACCTGGATTCCCAGGGAAATCCTCTTCCCCTGCCTCTGCACCATCCTGTTAAGAAACCTCACAGATTTTACCCTCTCCATGTTGGCCAAAAACAAACACATGCACTTGTGTCTGATTAATAGATCCATTATCAGTTTATTATGTAGGAAAAAAAAAATCTGCATTTCCCTTACCACTAGCACTGTAATGCAAAAAAAAAAAAAAATATTAAAGTTGAGGAATTGTCTCTCCCTTCACAACTGCTCCTCACATTCAGAGAAGAAGGACAAAGGTAAAGCATCCGTCCCTCAAGACCAACTACAGTTCAGCCTCACAAAGATCATGACCTCAACTGCAAGGACTACTGTGTCAAATGTTTCTGAATTCATAAAGCCATGCCCACTGCTCAGGATTCAATGCCAAAATGAAAATGTGTGAAGTTGTCAGGAAAGGGAGGAAATCCTCTCCCCAGGTCCTCAGGCTTCTCATGGGAGGACTCTGACTTCAGGAGTGTGGTGGCTGGGAAGCGACCCTGCTAAAAGCTTCCAGTCATGAACCTCAGGCATTCATTGCAACTCTTCTGATTGATAGGAAGGCTCTACGTGTGTCTTCTGTGATACTGAAATTTAAAAATGTTAGTCACAGATAAGGTGTGCTGCTAACATCAGATGCAACCAGGTTGGAAAACTCTGAACATGCTGCTCTCTGAACCACATAAACAACTGAACAACTTTGCATTTCACTGGCACCCCCAAAACACATGCACATTGCCTCAAGTCAATCTATGTCTTACAAACTCAATAGAAATATTTTCTGTTTGAGTGTTTTCTGTTTGAACCAAACTGAGTTCTAAAAGAAATTCAGTTTTGAATGAGAACAAAGTATTACAGAGGGCAACAATCCACCTTTTGGCTTGTTTTACAGATTAGGGTATTTTCATCAAAATTAGGATAAATTAGAACAATGTTTGCTTCTTCATTTGTATCTTTCAATAACTAAAAAAATGCTCTTTTCTGTAAAAAACTGTAAAAGCATCAGTGGGACTTCTGGCCTTCAAGGCAGACCCTAAGAGGGAGTGATGATCTGCCTACCTGAAAAACTATTCTGCTGTTTCACCTGAGTGCTCTGCAACTTTTTCTGCATTCTGATCTAAATACTCTGGCTAAGGCCACTGTGAACTATCATGTATCAGTTATCAAGGTTACTGCAAAATTGAAGCTTCTGATTCCTACATTATTTAGTTTTTATTATTAATTGTTCCATAACATTGAATATCTAAGATGCTGTGGAAACAATACCAACCAGTGTAGGCAAGGTTTAAATTGGTTTTGAGTGTGCCCACCAGAATTTTCACTGTATTTACCGAATCAGTGAAAAGTGAACCTTATTAACTTTGCATCTTCTCAGTGCTATGCAAAGAAATTCTTGTGGGCCCGCTGGGGAACTGCATATCTAGGTAGCATTGATACCTCATATCAGTCCAGCATCTTTTCCCTGGAGGGAAGCAGACCACACATACAGAAAGGGGACAGAAGCCTTATCCACCTCCCTGTAAACACACAGGGAAAAAAAAAATAGGAACTGCTGTTGTTTTTAATTGGAAGAAGAACACAGCAGTCAGGTAAAACTGTACATTATGAGATGTGGTGGTCAGAATTGAAGAACCACCTGTGAGCACCATATTCATTGGGAATAACACTTTTCACAAAACATAGCTCCATTCCTTCAGGGTAAAATCACGTTTAAACTATCACTCCTACTGAGAAACTGTATGCCATCATATGTTGCTTCATAGAATTATAGAAACATGGAAATACATGGCTTGGAAGGGGACTTTTAAATGTCATCTAGTCCAACTCCCCCACCATGGATAGGAACATTTCCACTAGACTGCTGGAGGTTGTCACATAACATCTAGTCATACTTAAATGTTAGGAAGCAGAACTTAATGTGGTGAAACTACCCAGACTACTTCTAGATCTGGCCTTGAAAAAAACGAGAAGACAACCTGTTCTGCATCCTAGCTGCTCTACTATGCACATGAGACACACCTTGCCCAAACTAAGCATCTGATGCACAATGCAGCTGGTGGAAAGATACCAGGAACTGCAAAGGATCAACAATTCATCCCAAAACATGAACTGTGAGATGGGCTGGATGAAGCATCCCTGGAGAAGTCATGGTCACAACAAACAGAAGCCAGGAAAAAGCCCAGCTTTTGCACCGTAACTGCCAGCTCTGCCAACCCTGCTTGCAATGGCACAGCCTTGTTGCACATCCAATGTGAGGAATTCCAGGGGTAGCAGTATCGCACACAACCCTGATCCTCTGCCAGGAATACCCCAGCAGCTCCTCCATCCCAGAGTGGTGTTCAGGCGCAACAGAGAAAAGCCAGGAAGCT